TAGTAAAATTAATAGCAAAGTCAGGAAATACCTCTTCTGTGTCTGATTCAAAGTCTGATTCAGAAGCTTCGCTGTCTTCTGATATGTTTGCCATGAGAGCTATGTTTGCTCTCTCATCATCTGATTCTGAGTCAGCTTCAGATGTGTCAGAGTCATCCCATGTAGCCATGAGACTTTTCTTCTTTTCCTTGCCAAACTTTCTTCTGGGCTTTTCCTTCTGAAGCTTTGGGCAGTCACTCTTGTAGTGTCCTTGCTCGTTGCATTCATAGCAGATGATGTCCTTGTTGTTTGGCTTTCTGCTTCCTGGAGAGCCTTCAGATCTTCTGTGTCCAGAGGAGGATTCTGACCTTCTGTATCTGGAGGAGGGTTCGTTCTAGTTCTCAGATCTTCTGGGATTCCTGAACTTTCTTTTCCTCTGCTTCCACAGTTGGTTCACCCTTCTGGAGAGGAGAGATAGTTCATCTTCTTCAGATGAGGACCGATCAGAGGTTTCTTCAACAGCCTGCAAAACCTTGGAGTCATATTTTCTGTTAGATTTTAAAGCTAATGGCTTACCTTGCTTTTGAGGTTCATCAGCTTCTAGCTCTATCTCGTGACTTCCGAGGGAGCTGACAAGTTCCTCCAGAGAGATTGTGTTGAGATCCTTAGCTAGCTTCAGCGCTGTGACCATTGGCCTCCACTGTTTTGGAAAGCTTCTGATGATCTTCTTGACATGATCAGCAGTAGAATACCCTTTGTCCAGAACTTTGAGACCAGCAACCAGAATCTGAAATCTTGAGAACATTGTTTCAATAGATTCACTTTCTTCCATCTTGAATGCCTCATACTTCTGAATGAGCGCAAGAGCTTTAGTTTCTTTGACTTGAAGGTTGCCTTCATGCGTCATTCTGAGAGAGTCAAACATGTTCTTTGCAGTGTCTCTGTTTGATATCTTTTCATATTCAGAGTAAGAGATAGCACTGAGAAGAATAGTTCTGGCCTTGTGATGGTTTTTGAAATCACGCTTTTGTTGATCAGACATTGCTTTCCTGTCAATCTTCTGACCATTTGCATTCACTGGGTGCGTGTATCCATCTGTCACCATATCCCACAGATCAGCATCATGGGCTAGAAAGAAGCTTTCAATTCTGTCTTTCCAGTAATCAAAGTTCTCTCCATCAAAGACTGGAGGTTTGCCACTGAATTTGTCTCTTTCTTCATTGTTGTCATTGCTGATGTTGTGATGTGTTCCTGCCATAGTGTTTTTCAACGATGGATCTTGTACTGACACGGTTAAGTGTTATGAACTCAGAACCAGGCGCTCTGATACCAATTGAAGAAGTGAAAAACACAAGAAGGGGGGTTGAATTGTTGAATTGTTGAAACTTGAAATCAAATGCAGACAACACATTATTTTTATCCTGGTTCGTTTGATCTCAAACTACTCCATTCCACCCGTCAAGGTGATTTCGCCTCTCTCCAACGAGGTCTTAATCCACTATATTCAACTGAATACAAAACTGCTTTAACAACTGCTAAAGCCTTCTTGAGTCTAACCACAGACCGGTTTCTCAAGGAATTCTTTTACAGATAAAGGAACAGTATGTGTGTTGAATGTTTTCTGGAAACACTATATATCATAACTGTGATAATACACAATATAAAGCTTATGTGAAACTAGAATGCTAGAACTATAGAGTAAGCAATTTGAGAGCTTTAGCAAACTGAGTGAGTGAGGACGAAGATGATTGGCTTATGCGTGTAGGAGAATTGTAGAGTATTAGCCATTTCCTTTCTCACTGATTTGTTTAAATACTTCTTGGAATAGATATGTTGCAGTCCATAATTCCATTTCAATACGCATAACATTCTTTCCATTTTGAGAAGATCTTTGTCTTGGAATAAAGCCGTTGGTAATTAATCTGCCTTAAATGCAGTAACGTTAACACTTCAGAATGTTCTGCTTAATGAGGATCAGAGTGTTCTTGTCTTTAGCTTATTCTGGCGCTTCTGAGTGCTGATGACATAGTTAGGATCTTGATCAGAATCAGAGTATGTTGAGCGCAGATCTTGTTCATCAGGCTTCAGCGTAAGCACATGTACTGATCTACTGATGTGACATATCTTCTGATGCTGATGTTGATATTCTGATATTCTGATGTTGATTCCATCAGAGTTTCCTGTAAATACACAACATATTTTTAGGTAGCATCTATGTCATATATAAATCTCATAATTCATTTAATCTTGTATTTTGTTATCATCAAAACTCTAACTGAGGGTTGTAGAATCAAACTATGTTCTAACACATGCAAAGTAAGAAGCAAAGCTAAACCAAAGCAATAAAAAGATTAAAGGTACGGAGGTTGGTTATACAAAGGGAAGGTGTTAGCACCCAATGCATCTATAGTACTCTATAGGAAACTCTTAAAATATCTGTGTTTTTGGCTAAAGTGGTTTGTTTGCAAATAGATGAGAGAAATGAGAAAAGAGATGTTTTTTATTTATTTTTTGTGTTTGGAAAGACATGAAGTGTTAAGCCTACGTATCGATGAATGATCAAAACCTTGTAGTTCGGGGTACAAATAACAAAAGGGTTTGTTTTGGTTGATTTTAAGTGAAGAGTCATTTTGTCATCTTAAGGAGAATACTCAACTAATCCTCCCACAAGTATGAGAAGATACATCTTTGCATCATCATAAATGAATGGCTCCAACTTTGATATAAAATCAACAAGTATTCCACTAACTCTTTCAGAGGCATTATGAATGGTAGATCCTCAAAGAGGAATCCTTGTCTCCCTCATAGGCAATATGAATGTTGGATCCTTAAAGATGAATTCTTGATACCCTCAAAGGAAATATGAATGATGGATCCTCGAAGAGGAATCCTTGTCACCCTCAGAGGAAATATGAATGTTGAATCTTCAAAGAGGATTCCTTGGTGATCTCAGAGGAAATATTAATGGTGGATCCTCAAAGAAGAATCTTTGTCGCCCTTAGAGGCGATACAATTATTAAACCTTCACCGAAGTATCCTCGCTGAAAGAAAGTCAAGTTGCGCTTTAGGGACTTGTCCCAACTAGAAATGTATTTGGTCAAGGTTACAAGAAAGGCAAGCGTCACATAACTAATTATAAAAGAACCTACTGAGGCTGAAAAGATTAATAGAAAACAAAAGGCGCACATTCATAAAGCATCAAATGGTGCGATGTTTGAGGGATTTGGCTGTGAACAATGGCCCGAGAGTTGGATAACCTCGTCTATACGGAATCTTGCCTAGAGGACTCGACTATCTAATTCTTGCCCACAAGAAAATTATCTTTTACATAAGATTAAATCATTTTGTCATTTCTAAGGCTTCGTGCTTAAGGGGTTGTGTACTAGGATAATTTCATTAGGCCTAAGAAAGGATAATCCATCAGTAAGCACTGAAATGCCCAACACTCTAACAATGGTCAGGCACTTGAAAGTGGCGGGATAGGTTGCCCAAAAACGACGAGACAAATCACCTAGAAACAATGACATAACGCCCCATTGGGCCACACGAATTAACTCCACTATCTACTTACTAAATAAACGTGGGAGAAGACGTGTCTAAACGATAATGATTTGAGAGAGTCAAGGAGGGAAAAACTGTCACCTCCATGATCCAAGGAGAACGAGTCTTTCCTCCCCAAGTTCTAATGAGAGAGATGGTAATTGCTCACTCTCTTAGAACTAAAAAGGAGATCAAATAAGTTACCCAAAAAAAACACATCCACAATATCTTTCATCACTCTGAATGAGCTAACTCTAAACACCATCAAGAACCCTAAACAACATGCCCTCCAAAACTTTTTGTGATTCTACTTAGTCTCTATTGCACATATAGAGGATACTGAGTTTAAATATTTTATAGAAAAATCAGACTTCTTTACGTAGAGAAAAAAGCGCACCAACTAATATATAAGCCTATTGAATATATGAAGACATTTTGGAGTTGAATATTTGTCCATTTTGTTATCTTTCAAAATATTCCGGAGACACGTAGTAGTAAAATCTGAAAACCGACACAAAGCAAAAGTAGATATTCTAAAGCTTTCAGTCTCTTTCTCACTTTTCTTCACTCTTACTCATTCTCCCCTTACACTCTATCACTTAGCAACCAACCATATTCCTTTTGATCTTTTTCATCTTTTTATGTGACCGAACTCTCTCACCATGTGATGTTCACTCACTACTCATTTGATGACTCTACATTCTCCAACTTATTACTTTACATAGCCAAAAAAACAGACACATACGCTAGATACTGTATTTTCTATCTTTTTGTTTTTACTCCAGATGAACTGTTTTACTAGGATCACATTCTGCTTCTGAGGCTATGTCCGATGTTTCATGCTGTTACTAAATTGGTATGCTCTTTTCTTTATTACCATTCATATAGTTAATCTCTTACATCATTATTATTATCTGGTGTGTCAATAACTTTACCTTGTGAAGATCAGGATTCATGAATCTGCTCCTGTTCTAACTGTTTTCATTAATATAAATTAATAGCAAATGTCACTTTTTTCTTCTTTTGGTTGGAAGAAGCATAACTAGCTTTCTTTGTATTTGTTGCCTAATTTAGAAGAGGAAAATAAGTTTGTAACGGAACATCAGACAGTAGTTTGAAAACTAAAAATAATTTAATGTGATCACATGTGCCACGAGTACTCGAAAAAAAAAACACACACACATATATATATATATATATATATATATATATATATATATATATATATATATATATATATATACTCCTATATAATTTGCATGTGTCGGTTTGAATTCAAGAAAGAGAATATGTTGTTTATATTGTAAAGTTTGTTGTAGCTCAAAATTTTAATACCCACATACTTCCTTCCATGTTAATTTTTAAAGTTGTTTTAAGCATTAGAAGGGTTCTTACCTCATCTATTTTGGCCTCAGTGCTAACTTGAGCCTTGAACTTCTCATAAGAAGGGGCTGCATCTAGAAACTCAGTTGTGGAACATGATGGTGAATGAAGGGAAATTGAATATCAATGCTCCTCTCATGTCTGTGAGGCGTTCTGTATGTACACCAACATCCTCAACTGAAGTAAAAACAAAGATACTAGCGAATTCAGCACAAGTCCTTCCATGCAACAAGTCTGAAATGATTCAAAATCAGGTAACGAAACCTGTTGTCGTGCCTAAAACAAGATCTTTGAGGGACATTTTGAATAAAGTAGATCATGAAAAAGGAATAGAAGATGAGAAGGTAACAAATTTGGAAGAGGATGATGATGATGACGAAGGCGATGCTTTTTCGGATGCTTTAGAAACACTGTCTTCAACAGAATCATTATGTGTAAGTGGTTTGGATAATTTGGATGCAAACAAGTGTAGAACATCTTCTAATGATGATAAACAAGCTCAAGACTTCATGATGAACCGTTTTTTACCGGCTGCAAAGGCTATGACTTTACAACCACATCAACATGCTCCAAGAAAACAATCTGTTCTGTTGGAACAGCCTAGCACCAAATTGGTTAGTGATGAAAAGAAATTCTATGTTAATAATATGGCAATCACCGACATTATACCATACACTGGTCAATATGAAGAGGAGGAATCAGAATCAGAATCAGAAGAAGAAAGTGACCATGAAACTGATGATCATGCAAATATATCAGCTAAGGGTTGTGGATTATTTCCTAGTTCATGCATTAAGAATTCATTGTGCTTATTAAATCCAATGCCCGAGGCAAAAACAGACAACCATATTCCCATGTGGTCTTCCTACGAGGTTGAAAAACCTAACAAAAGTTCTCATTTTAGCTCCTATAGATCAGGTCCAACCATAAAGAAGGTAAGAACTAAATCCGTCTTACTTTTCTGTACAATTTCTTGCATTCCACTCAATGTTGTCAAATAGCGACACTATAGCTATAATTTAGCAGAATTTGCGCTAATTAGTACAAAGTGTTGTTTAATACCAGCTATAGTGACACTATTTAACAGTTGTGTAGCTAAATTCGAAGAAATTGTTATTTTTTGTGATCTGCAATTGACAATCATGATGCACTGCACCTTTCAATAGTCAATAGTACATTACTTATTCCCATTTTGTGAATAGGTATTTTTAGTAACATGACTTCAACGAATGAATTTTTCCTGCAGGCTTGGGATGCTATTCATAAAAGCAAATCAAGCTCTGGGGCTAGTGAATCAAAGAGGTATAATACTTACTCCGCTGAACCGAATCAGATAAGTAGGGTCGCTTCATTTCGTCGGTCAGGTGCTGCTAGCGTATCTTCTTTTCAAAGTAATTCGCACTCTACGGCTGAGAATAATCAATCTAAAAAACATGAAAGTTTTCAAGAATTGCAATCACAGGGATCCCAAAGAAGTTCAAATTCAAGGAATCTTTCAATAGAAAAAACATTATACTCAGATACTTGTAGTACTAAGGTAAAAATACCAAGTTCAAATTCAATTATTAAGGCTGAAAGATTAATAATTGATCAGGAAAATAACCAAGAATCCATGTCCTTGCAACTTGTACAGAGTTCATTTGACAAAGATACAAACATCAACAGCAACCAAATTGTTGTAGTTGATGGCTCAGAAAAAACTGATCATAAATGTGTTATGCACCTTCTTTCTCCACCATTGCCGAAGTCACCTTCTGAGTCGTGGCTTTGTCGCGTCTTGCCCTTAGTTTCTTTCAAGAATTCACTCGCATATTCGAGTCGCGGAACACAACAATCACATGCTGCTAAAATGATAGGTTACAGTAGAGCATCCAGCTATAGCAAGTGGGAAACAATAGTGAAAACATCAAATTTGCATCATGATCATGAATGCTGTTCTCAGGTAAACGAACTCATTTATCCTTATAGTTAAAAAAAACACTGTGATGTCTCAAAGATATAAAAAGAGCACTCACAAATAATTTTCTTCACAGGAACTAACCATATATAAGTCTCAGCATTCAAAATCTTAGAGATGGAAGTTCTTCCTATTGGTTTTGGGCATAACAACAGAAGAATACATATCCTAATTGGTGATCAATAAAAACAACAAGTTTCTTTTGGACTTGTGGTTCCTTGGATGGATTCAAGATTTCATAAGCTGTCCCCAGAAGTACATATACACTAATGTTGAACGCTGTTATTCTTGCTTCAATGATTCTCATACATTATATAGATTACATAAGAAAATTCTTTTTCTCATATACTCTTCCTTTTCTTGCTATTTTATAATCTCATGTCCAAGTATCGGCAGATGCTGATATCGATACCGTTAATTACTATTTTTATGGTAAAGAACAAATTGCGGTGCGACAACCGCAATCAGTATTACGACACCTTTTAAATCACACCGAAAATTGTATCGATATGCTCATTGATTCAAAGCTTAAAGGCCAGGCTCGGGTTGAACTAGCTATTAATATTCATAGTTTCACATCATTGAAAATTAAACTACACATAAAAGTATAAAACGTGAATGACCTAACTTTTTTTCATATAAAAGAACATTAGGCCATTCAACAAACAGTTGGCAGACAAATGATACATTCAGCAAATCAAACAGTAGGCAGGCAAGCAACACCAACAAACAAGGAGACAGTTTTCTATACATGGCTTGTTCTGTTTTAATTAGGTTTACAATGGGAGAAGTAACTCACCTTAAGTGAAGTTGATAGGTTAATGCTTATGGTGATCTTGATAGAATACATTTACGTTTAAGGGTGGCAAAGTGGGCGGTCCATCCCGTTTATGCTCGTCCCGTTTAAACTCGTATAAAAGTGGGATGGAGTGGACAAACTTAGGCATGTGAGCTCAAAAGACAAACCCGTCCCGGTTACTGACGGGTTGGTGGATAGGCGGCCGGCCCGCCAATTTTTTTAATTTTTTTATTTTATAATTTAATTTATTACATAATTTACAAAAAATTTAATCATTTCTAAGTCAACAAAATATATTTTTTTAACAACGCATAATATAATTTCAACATGTCTTAAGTCCAAACACTTAAAAAAATAAAATAGATAAAGACTAATTTAAAGAAAAACATACCGAAATAGACTCTAGCACGATAAAAAAATATATCAAAATAAATAAATAAACGACACATATAATCATAATCCTATTTAAAAACTAATTACTAAAAAAACTCAATTAATAATTTGCACAAGATAAACAATGATAACATTACAGTGCATAAAACATCACAGTGCATAAAATAGTAGTGTATAAAATATTAACACATGACTTTCTCATTGTTTACGTCATATAGACTATTATATTGATGTATTCCTTAATAGTTATATCTTAAATTTGTCACACGTATACTCTAATTGAATTCTTCTTTTTCTTAAAATTAACATTTGTTTCTAAAGAAAACATGTGAGCTAATGTATTGACAACTTAATAATTCTTCATGCCATACAATTGTTTTTCCAACTAATACATGTATTAGCAAGTTAAATAAAAAACCTTACAATTATAATTCAATTTGTCTGTATAATAATTTAGAGTGTAATTCAATCATCATAACCCAAAGAGAATACTGTTGTTTTTATAGTTAAAGTTGTCTTAATTCTAAGTAAAAAGTAAAAAGTTGTAACAAAAAGCCCGCGGGCAAAACCCGCCCCCGCCCCGCCTAAGCCCGCTTTTTAAAGCGGGTTAGGAGGGGCGGACAAACTTAAGGTATCGAGTCGAAAACCTCAGCTCAGTCCGCCAAAAATGGTGGGTCAAACGGGCTGACCCGACAGGCCCGGCCCATTTTGTCATCCCTATTTACGTTAATGCTTTTAATTCAGAGGCTAATTCTCTGACCAAATATGATTAGGGGCTAAATGAGCTTGTTAAGATAAAACACGAGCAACAATGTTGCACTTTATAACGACTAGAGAAAAGTTATTGTTGGAAAAAATTCGCATAGAGAAAATAAAAGATATAATATGAAAACTCTAAAATTAGAGAGAAAAAATACCGCCGTCGTTAAAAGACTAATTAGAGAATAACATACTCTCATGCATTCTGGCACCCTTAGTTCACTCACATCCTCCAAAGCAAATATTTAATTATATCTAAAAATACTTTAACACAAAAGTATAAGAGAACAAAGAAAATCAAATACAAATTTAAACTGTTTTTGATCGGTGCATTTTGTAATGAAGAACTTGAATCCTTAATATAAACGTGTTCTTCGTCTTTCTTTATAAAATTAAAAGATGTAAGATTTCTTCAACATATATATTTTTAACCAATCAGAATATTTTTTTACTGTACTCAAAAACAATGGTATTAAAGTCATGATTCGACTTGATGGGGGAAGCGGGAGTTAGATCTGATGTTAGATCCTGTTATATAATGTGTGAGAACTCACATTTATGGAGAAGATTGTTGGATGTAAGTGTGAGTGATTAAGTCTCACATCTCCTGTGAATGTGTGAAATAAATTTATAAGAGAGATGACTCATATATTTAATATCTTTAGGTTTTAGGTGGAGATGTGACGTCTTCCTCTCTTATGGTCTTGAGTGTTGGACGCATCCGTTGATGCTCCCACCTTAACAAGAGAATGTATTTTTCAATCTTTCCAATTTTTTTGAAAGAAAAAAAGAATTTCTTTCTCATTCCCCACAATAATAAGTGAATATATTTTTCAGTTATTCTTGCTTCTTTGAAAGAAAAAGAGAATATCTTTCTCATTAATACATATGTCATGCAACATTTCTTGTCTCCCGTTGATAAAATAATATCGTCTTAACAAATCTGATTTGTGACTTTGAAAACAATATATTGATCAACAAAGGATGGGTGTGTATGTTTTTTTAAAGAGGAATATGTATTATGTCCGACCAAAATAAAAGATATCTCTTTAACATTAGTGTCAAATGTAGGTGGTAAGTTTTTCAAACAGATGTAAAGTTGTTGGTGTGCATTGAGGTGGGAATTGCCATCCCTTAATCTTGTTAATGTTGGTAGAAGATTATCCTAGATATTACTACATTATTTGGAAAGTTTGAAGAACATGAGCAAGAGATAATTTTCTTAGAGAAGCATGAGAAGAAACTTAAGAAGAAGAAGAAGAAGAACAAGAAAAAGGTGGTAGACAAAAAGTCTATTGCTCTTGTGGCTTCTAGCTCTAAGTACTCTACTATAGAGCAAGATGATAGTAGAACAAGTGATGATGGTTGTTTAAACGATGAAGAAATGAGATTGTTTGTTAGAAGATACAATAAATATCTCTAGAGGAATGGAGTGAATCATTCCGACAAAAATTTCATCAACTATAGAAAGCAGTCAAATTCCTCAAGACAAGATGAGAATAAGAAAGATAAATCGAAAGGTTCATGCTATAATTGTGAAAAGGTCAGACACTATAAGCCAGATTATCTATTAATTAATAAGGATAAAGAAAAGGGTCAAATCAAGAAGTTTAGCAAGTCTAGAAGAGCACACATTTCTTGGGAAAGTGATAGTGAATCCTCAAGCGAAAACAGCTCAAGTGATAGTGATGATCGAAAAATCTTTGTCTCTCGGCTTACTATAAGAAGAAGAATGTAAGTCATTCTAAATATGAACTTATGGATAAAATGTCTTATTCTGAATTACAAAGATCTTTTGAAAAACTACATGGTGAAGTCGTATATGCTTTTAAAAGGTTAGCTTCAAATAAGAAAATATTTTCATACTTAGAAGCTAAAGTTTTAGAAACTGAAAAATAAATAGAAGCCCTTATGTAATACCTCAAATTTTTCCTATCATTTCACTTTTATCTGGCTTATGCATTTTTCACTTCTCATTTCATCTGCATACCTTCCATTAGGTTATTTTGCACTGCATGCATTTGTTAGAAACAAGGCTTGGTATTCAAGATCAATGATCATGAGATTAGGATTTACATGGTACATTTAGGTTTCATATTTTTTCAAGGGTTGTTCAACTGAAGACTCAAGTATTGTGATTAGGGTTTGGCCCTCACACAAGATCATATGATGAATCTACAAAAGCTTGATAATTATCCCAAGAGCTGAAAATTCAAGCATATAAAGTCATCTCACCTCCAAATGAATTAGGGTTTATTTCCCTAATCATGTGGACTCCAAGAAGGGCTCTACATAAACTTATTCATCAAGAAACATCAAAATTTAAAAGGGTTGTTACCATGATTCAAAGTGAAAATCATTGAAGAGGTTTTGGTGTATACATCAAAAATTAGGGTTTGAAGACGCTTGGTGCAAGGAATTTCATCCAACCACTTGGTTTACTTGTGACACAAGTTTTCCTTGCCTCAAGATTAAAACTTAGCGTTGTCTTGTGGGACATTGGGGTTTTTGATCAAAAATCAAGAAAGAAGAAACAGAGCATTTATGCCAAATATGTTCAAGTATGGAAAGACATTTAAGTTTATAAGAGATGCAAGGGCCATGCAACCAATTTAAGACATCAAAACATGTTAATTAATCCAATTTATCAAAAGTTGTGGAAAAGACCAAAGCTCATTCAATTTGATGTTCAAACATGGAAAGCCACTCGAAGGGAATCACAAGGACCATTAATTTTCTTAAGGGCATTTAAGCATGGTTTATTTCAAATAGTCAAAAGAGGAAGAAAGACTTAGAAATTCAAGTGCAATTCGGAAGAGAAAAGCACTTTGAATATTTGAAGATAGCATGGAAATTTAAAAACTAAGTATTTATAAATATGCCAATTCCATTCAATTATATTCATTACAAATGTCCAACACCATTTACAATATCCAAGAATAAAAGATATACTGCAAAAATGAGAAACACATTTAAAGATGCACATTTGGCGACCAACTGATCATTGTCTCTCCACTTTGATTCTCATCATTGTTTTCTGCGTAGCCCTATCTTGTTTTCAATTCAGCTTTAGTTTGCTTCCATCAACCCATCTTCATTACCTTCTTCATGACCAAACCTGCATATCACAACCTTTCATGATCTATGCCTTCTATTTCAATCCA